ACTCGAGTGGGCCCAGTAACATCTCCATTTTGAGATTTCTTGTTACTGTGTTTGGCATATCAAATACGTCACGGGTAGCTTGCCAGGCTTTGCGTGCAGGAGACATACTCTTGGTAGCTTTCCAGGCTCTCAGAGAGGGGCGGAGGAATCGAACCCGGCTCGGCCAGGCTGGCTGCATGCAAGGCAAAAGCCCTACCACTGTGCTATCACTCCAGCCCCTACCTGCAATAAAGTTGCTCTTGCATCTTGCAAAAAGGGCTCAAACGTCACTCTTCCTATGAGCTTTTCACTCAAGAAATGATGGTTTCACAAAAATATTTGGTCAAATAGATTCAAAGTCTGAAGTAGAGCTTCTGAAAGTGGCTAGTACTGCTCGCTCCAGTGGGGTATGAGAATAATCCAGGGAGCATTAGGCCTTTGGGTGCAATTGTGGGGAGGGAACACTTTCTGATTGCTATTATTTTTTTTTAAATTACATCTCCAGCCAGAGAGGTTGCACAGGCATGAAGGCATTTGCCTACCATGTGCCTGATCCCAGTTGGTTCCAAGTAGCACCAGGAATAAATTCTGAATACAATCTTGTGTGGTCTGATGTCAACTACCCCCCCCACCCCATCACCCCATCACATAGTAGATTTCGGGGGGTGGGGGGTGTACAGCACTGGAACCTCTGGTCTAGAGACAAGGGTTTCACATGAGACCAAAGAGAGGAAGCTTTTAGAAGAATTCTAATATTAGATAGAGGGGAATGACACTCATCCCTTCACGTTGAATAGCACAAAGGGAATTGTGAGATTCATTATATTGGAGCAGAAATGAAGAGAAAACCCCCCATTTGAAACAAGGCTAGATTACACACTTACAGAATGCAACACTAGATTTCAGAAATATGAGCTCATTTTTCCCCTGAGGAGATACTCTGTCAATATCCGTACCTCACAAGGTCCAGACACTCGCAAGCTTCCTCTCTTAACTGGGAGTGAAGCTCTCTCTCTCTGAGTAATGGGGGCCATTGGGTTGGTCTCATCGGCCAAGCCCACGAATTTTCAGGATGAAATAAAACTATTTTTCCTCAGGTGCTTATTAATCATCTGAAGCTATTCTTTAAAAGCAATAAACAATGCACATATGGTGATTAGGATAGGATTATTTTTCATGGGAAAATAAAGTCTGGCTCAATATGTTCTGCATTTATGCTCCCAAGAATAAACCCACAATCCGCCAGCCCTTCACTAAAAAAGAAAAAAAAATCATCTGTTTTAAAGGCCATGGAATTCTGACATTTGGGTTAATTTACACTTACAACTCTCCAAATATATTTCAGAAACTAGCCGATATTTGAGAATACATTTTTCAGATATTTTAAATAGGAAAATCACATTTTATGTAAGGTAAATAAACCAAAACACCAAAAGACTGAATCTTGTGGAACCTATGGTTTTATGAAATACAAATAGAGTTTAAAGTGGGAACGCATTCTCTTATATTTCACATTCACTTTAAATTGGTGCAAGTAAAAATATCTATAATATCTACAAAATGCCCAGGTGTTTACAACTGTTAATAACTGAATATATTTGCAGAACTTTGGGCCCATACGTAGGACATAAAATTGAAATATATTTCCAACAAAAAAAAAACTGAAGACTTTCTTTATAAGTAAACCACTCATTTTGAAATAAAAAGACACGTGGAGCTCATGAATAAGTTTGAATTTGTGGTCTCAAACCACATCATCCAAATAACTTTTAACTATATCACATTCTATCAAAGCAGATATATTGTTGCCTTAGATATAATGATTTCTTTGACCCCAAATTGTAGACGCTGAGTTTTTGTTTCTGTTTCTTAGAACATTTTTTCACAAATATATCTGTCTCCTTCCAGACCAAATAACCACAAGATTATTGCAAACCCACATTCTAAACTATATGATAAAGGAGTTTATAACAAAGAATTTTCTTCAGGACACTTTATTTATAACACAATTTATGTTAAATGTTTATTTTTTTAATGTTTAAATTATCTTGCATTTAGATCTGATCAAGCACGTGATACTATGCTTATTCATAATTGAAAGAAATATTTTTTTCAGATTGTCAACTTGTCAAAATTCTACAGAGTTAGTATCTTTAAGAATTACTTTTATGTCTTGACTAAGGTAGCCTGTTTTCAATAAATAAGTCTTAATTTTTTACATTACTGGTAAATTAAACACATCAGAAATAGAGCATGTTTTCACTCAATCATTAGTAAATGTTCATTTGCATATGTTGTTTTGGTGGCTTAGTTGCCAAACATTTAGCTAAAAGATAAATAGATACACATTGAGGAACTAAACTTTCTTACAGGGTGGTCTTGATATGAGTCAAAGCCAGAAAATTAATGCTTAGTTTCCAAAACACCTAATGCACACAAAAGTAATTAATTCTATAGCTGTGTGGGCTTCCAATTCTGAGAATTTATAATGTCTTCCATATTTTATTGTTTACATAGTTAAGGTACTATACTTTCTTACAACATTTACGCGGGATTGAGATACCAATGAGTAAATTTACTTGATGTAATCATTAATTACTAAGTCATCTCAGTTGTGATCATTCTGTTTATGAGGTAATTTCATGATGTGGCCTGTTTTCCATTATTTTATAATTAAGTACCATTTATGCACACCCTCTTGTCCCATTAGCTCATCGTTCCAATTCCTTCAAAGGAAAATGTTGTAGCAAATTACACCACCGTGATTGATTTGGGTAGTATAAGAAATTGACATTTACTAAAGCAACTGCCTAAAATGCATTATAGAAATAACAGCTTAAGTAACTACCATTAAATAGAGCTATTCCTTTTACATGGGTTTGATTTGATAAGACTCAATTCTAAGAGACACAATGTCCAGTCATCATGAGAAATCTACAAGAGCTTCTTGCTTATTAAGTACTCAAGAATCTTCATTACAATCAACTCCCTCTCACGGACACTGATGTTAGTCAAGGGGTAGAGAGCAAATCTTTGACCTGGAAATAGTCAATGGAGAGTCAACAGAGTTTTTAATACTCCAAAACAGTGACAAAATATGGACTGGCTGCACCAAAGAGAACACGTGATAGGGGCAGTCACAGCCCCTGTAACTGGATCAAGTGCAGTGAAGGCTGTACATAACGTCCATTTGATTCAGATATCATCCCATCATGACATCATGATTAAGACATGAGTAAGAACCAATTGTCACTATCTGTAAGGAAACTCACTCAAACGCTATCTCCTAATTGGTGTGGCTGTTCTTAGAAGATTTACATCTAGTGATAAAATTACACTCAGTTAGTGAGTAAATATAACACAGTCATCATGAGGAAGAAGGCATAATTCATGTGAAATCTTTAAAAGATGTTTTAATAAAGCTTTATATATACCCTAGTTTACATATACCCTAAAGTACAAATAAAATATAAATGGGAAAGGGTGCAAATAAGTCAATTATAGAAATATAGCTTCACTGTATATGAACTGATTAATTAAACCACTATTATTTGTATCCGTTTAATCAGTCACTGTCACTGTCAGTCACTGTCCTCCCGTTGTTCATTGATTTGCTCGAGCGGGCCCAGTAACATCTCCATTGGAGACTTTGTTGTTACTGTGTTTGGCATATCGAATACATCACGGGTAGCTTGCCAGGCTCTGCCTTGAGGGCGAGATACTCTCGGTAGCTTGCCGGACTCTCCGAGACGGGCGGAGGAATCGAACTTGGGTCGGCCATGTTGGCTGCGTGCAAGGCAAATGCCCTACTGCTGTGCTATCGCTCCAGCCCATCCATTTAATACTCTTATGAAAATATATCATAAGAAGGAAGTTTTTAAAAACAATATCAACGGAGTAAGCAATGTATCTTTCTTGGCCAATTTATAATGAGCACATTCTTGAAATATAACTTTGCTTACCAAACCAAAAACAAAACAAAAAAAAAATGGCAATTGCAGGCCAGAGAGACAGTACAGGTAGATGAAGGCATTTTCCTTTCATGCTGCTGATGCTGGTTCCAACATTGTAGGACTGGAACCCAATCAGGGAAATGCTGTAACTTTGTATCTCATGGTTATTCAACATACTCTAAAAAGAAAAGTTATATTGCATATTGAGGTATAGTTGACCATTAAAAATGATATTTATATTAAGTTGTCTGAGCTGGAGCAATAGCACAGCGGGTAAGGCATTTGCCTTGCATAGAGCCAACATGGCCGACCCAGGTTCGATTCCTCCGCCCCTCTCGGAGAGCCCGGCAAGCTACCGAGAGTATCTTGCCCGCACGGCAAAGCCTGGCAAGCTACCCTGACGTTTTGATATGCCAAACACTGTAACAATTATCATGATGGGCTAGCTCGAGCACAACGATGAACAACGGGAGGACAGTGACAGTGACAGTGATTAATTTATCTAATGATGCTTATCTTATCCATCCTCTGCACTGCATGCCTCCCTAAGCACTGCCAGAAGTGACCCCTGAACAGAGAGCCTTTGAGCATCACTGGGTGTGATCAAACTGCTCCCCCCACCAGAAGCTAACTCTAAGAACTTAATATGGTCATCATTATTTTACAATATTCATGTATACGAAAGCGTCATTAGATAACAATATAAATGTCATTTTTAATTGCCAACTATACCTCAATATGCAATGTCACTTTTCTTTTTAGAAAATGTTGAATCACCATGAGATACAAAGTTACAGCATTTCCCTGATTGGGTTCCTGTCCTACAATGTTTGAGCACCCATCCTTTCACCAGTATCCACTTTCCTCCACTGATGTCCCCAGTTTCCCTCCCACCCACTAGGCTGTCTCTGTGGCAGACATTTTTCTTTTTTCCTTTTAAGTACTGTGTTTTGCAGTATTGTTAAGGAAAGGGTATCAAGCATATGACTTTACCTCCTTTCAGATTCTTGTCCAGAGTGATCACTTTCCACCATCATTGTCATAGTGGTCTATTTTCTGACCTTACCTGAAAATATGGAATGCTTCAGAAATTTGCATATCATCCTTGTGCAGGGGTCGTACTAATCTTCTCTGCATTGTTCCTATTTTTAACATATGTGCTGCTACAGCAAGCATGCAATATAACTTTTCTTACTTTCAAAACTCAGTGTTCTCTTATCTTTTGCCCATTCTCTGGGTTTCTTGCCTTGGAATGAAATTCTCCTTAAACTTGCTATATGGCCATTGTCAGTAGGTAAAATACCTCTCAGGATGCTCTGAATCTTTAGAACTTAGATATTATCACTATAAAAATAATTCTGCCATTTGTCTGTAGTTCAATAGTGTATCAATTCATCTCTCCTTTTTTCATAAATGCTAAACCAATATTCTTTCTTATTTTTATTTTTTGGCATGTCAAACAAGTCTGTAATTTTTCTTTTATTTTCAGTGCGGTTATTAATGTCTGTAATTTTTTTAAAAAATTTTATTGAATCACTGTGAGATAGTTACAAGTTTTCATGTTTGGGTTACAATCACACAATGATCAAACACCCATTCCTCCACCAGTGCACATTCCCCACCACCAATATCCCCGATATACCTTCCCCTTTCCCACCCTCCCCCTGCCTCCATGGCAGACGTGATTCCCCACACTCTCTCTCTACTTTTGAGCATTATGGTTTGCAATACAGGCACTGAGAGGTCATCATGTTTGGTCTTTTATCCACTTTCTGCACACATCTCCCATCGCGACCGATTCCTCCAGCCATCTTTTTCTTAGCTATCAAAAAAATGTATTTCAGAAAATGGCAAGCATATAATGTCACTGTCACTGTCACTGTCCTCCCATTGTTCATCAATTTGCTAGAGCGGGCCCAGTAACATGTCTATTTTGAGACTTGTTACTGTGTTGGGCTGTTTGGCATATTGAATACGTCACGGGTAGCAAAGCAGATAATAGGTAGGCACCAGATGACAAACGCTATTAGATAGCTTTGCTATAGATTTTGCACTTTATTCTGAATCCACTAGGAACCATCTGTATAACTCAACCGGGGGTAGGGAGGAGGAGATTGTATGAAATAATCTGTATTCTGTAAAAATCCACTCAGCATCAGTTGCATTATTTGGGAAAGATTAGGCATGGAAGTCTTACATAATTATTGCAGGAACTCTGATAATAAATGATAGCGCCCCCGATACATAAAGTATCTTGGCAATAATCATCAAGACTTGTTAAGAGCACTAGAAGAAAGCCAAACGATATTTTTAATGGATGAATTCATATAGTGACACACTAAATCATTAAAAAATCTTCTTTACCAAAAAAAATTAGTCATATATTGTATGCTCCCTAACATGATTAAATAAAAGCCATCTGTGGAAATTTCTTTTTGTGCAATGTCAGGAATTAAATGCAATGTCTTACACTAGTAAATAATGTACACAGAGCTACACTCCCAGTCCCTCCTTTCAAAAATTCTTATCAAACTTCTAGAATTTTTTAATCAATTTTTAGTAAATATGAGTTTATAGAAAATAGAAAGATAGTGAAAGATCTTTAAGGTCACCATGTGGATGCAATCAGAAAGATCCACAATATGAAAGAGAAAAATGACCTGATTTATCCATCAAAAAAAATGGAAAGAAAACAACAACAAAAACCCACTAAAGTTAGTGGAATCAAAATGTCTTATCAATCAGATGCAGTATGTGGTTTGTAATTTCTAATTTGGAACAATATATTTTGAAAAAAGAGACTGAGACAGCCAAGAAAATATAAATATTTACTGGATACATGAATATATTATCAAAAAGCTATTAGTTTTTTATGGTAAAGTTTCAGTGTCTGTGTTTCAAAATATTTTTTCCTTTTAGAAATGCATACTAACGAACTTGCCGATTAAACGATATGACATCTGGAATTTATTTTAAAATAATCTTATTTGGCAAATAATAAGCAGGAGGCATACAGATGAAGCAGATTAGCTAGATATTGGTCATTGTTGAAGTTCAGTGACAGGTAATTTTGCTGTGGCTTCTAAAAAAATGTCTTTACTGGAGTATTTGTCATGATAAAGTGAAAGAGATGAGAAAAAAGAAAAAAATATGTCTGAGCAATATCAAAGAGATAGGATGGGACATGAAGGGCAATTGGCGCTTAGAAGTTGAATGTTCTATTCATCAAGAGAAGTATAAGTGAAGGAACATACTTAGGGGTTAAGATAAATCATTTGTTTAGGAGCATCTTGGGCTAGGAATGCTAGGTGGATAGCTACGTGGAAATGTTTGGCAGACATATGAATCCAAGAAGATCAAGGGTAGGTATAAATCTAGGCTATAAAAACATGTCAAGGGATGTAGAGAGGAAGTCAAGAATGAGAAGGAATATCCAGATACATAAACTGACAGACATTTGCTACTGCAGTCACTGAAACAAGGTGAGACAGTTTTAGAGAAAGTAATTGACCAAGATGCATTAAAGAATTAGCTGTTCAATTGGTAGGGGGAGTAATTCTTAACTTGAGTCACTAAGAGTAACTGATACTAGTTGAAGATTATTAACAGCATACGAATAAATCTCCTCTAATCCAGTGGATTCTCTAGAACAAGTGTCTACCCATTGAAGGGGGGTCTACTCTGGAGCACAGAAAAGAACAGGAGGGAGTTTAGCAATGATTGTACAGTTTCATTGCCTTCATTCCACAGTTGTAGGAAGTAAAAAGCAAGTGAAACTCAATGACACGGAATTGGAAAAGATGCACAGCCCAGAATACACTACAGGGTGAGACTGCCATCCAAGTGGGCGCCATTCTGTATTTCAGAATGTGGGGAGGATGGAGGGGTTACAAATTCAAGGGTACAGATGCAGTGGGTAACAGAGTACAGCGAAGGGCTGAAACAGAAGTGTCTATTGAAACCCTGTGGCTGCTTTTTCCCTCCTTATATTCCAAATACACAGCAACCAGGTGTTACCCTCCAGGCCAATTTTTTTTTAAATGTGGAAGAAGGGTGTTTTGTGTGTTTTCTAAATAAATTTAACATAGTGAGTAGCATAAACAAAAGAAGTAACTGTTGCCATTGGAGCATGAGAAAAAAGAATTCAGAGTCCTGATTGCCCAGGGTAATAGCTGAGCAGGGAAGAAGGACTGGGCATGGCTCTGGAGACAAAGGATGGTGGGGAGGATGGGAAGGGCTGCTACACCCTAAGAAATGAAGTTGGGATCCCAATTCATAGCGAAGACAAAATACTGAAACAATGGCTTGCCCGCTACTTTGAGAGAGAAGTATACATTCCATGAAGCTATAAGTAGAATGACATGAACAGAGACTCACAATAAAAAACTGAAATAAATTCCCCATGAGCTGAGTAAATGGGCCTAAATTATTTTTTCTTAGATTTTTATTAGTGAGACACCATGAGGTACAGTTGTAGATTTACAATTTTTTTTCCTTTGGCCCTGTTTTTATTTTATGGAAGATTTTCATTTATATGCATCATTTATAAATATCTATAGAAACACACACACATTGAGCATTGGAGAGTGAAACTGTCCATTGATAACTACACAGAAAAATAGAATTTTATAGATTTACAAATTTTTGTGCTTGGGTTTCAGTTATACAGTGATCGAATACCCATCCCTCCACCAGTGCCCATTCTCCACCACCACCACCAGTCCCAGTATCCCTCCCACCCCCAATCTCCCCCATCCCACCCTACCTTTGTGGCAGGGCATTCAATGGGCCTAAATTTTTAAAGAAATCGAATTGGTTATTAAAATCATTCACACACATGTACCTGAGAGAGACATCTGCTTCTAGCCACGACAAATAGGGACCATATTTATTTCCACACAGGAAACAAGGAAAAGTTAATATTATGTTTGACAATGAGAACTAACAAACTGGACATGACATCCAAACTCTGCACATCTTTTAAATATTCCAAGGGTGTTCGGCCCCCAGAGAGGAGAGACCAGGGGAACTCTGTCATTACCCCAGTTTTTTGCCCGTTCTGGTGCAAGAAAGAGGAATTTAACTCGGAGTTGAAGAGAGGTACTTGGAGTTTGCAGATGCTAAGAGCTGAAGTTCAAAAAGCAAAGTTCTGAAAAGGGAACAGCTGCGCAGAGAAAAGAATCTGTGGAAATCCAAAGCGGACGTGCCTCAGGTTTTCATATTTAGAAGCCTATGCCAATGGAGAAATTGCCTGAGGAAAAAAAAAGAACCACTTAAAAGGAGTAGACACCCAGAACCCAGATAGGTTCAAGAAAGGTTCACATCTTTGAAAGTCAGAAGGAAATCTCTCAATTCAAGGAAAATTGGGTAGAGCACTGACAATGATAACACCTAAATGGTGGAGAAATACAGCCTTAGATTAAAAATCACTGACAATGATAACACCTAAATGGTGGAGAAATACAGCCTTAGGTTAAAAATGGTTTTCTCGTATTAAGTTTTAGCAGCAGGATTGAGAAGATCAAGCTATTACCAAGCAATGTAACTGCACTTTAGAGCGAAGCCCAAAATATTTATCAGAATAGAATATTAAGCATTAACAAGGTAAGCATCAATTTTGGAAATTAAAGAAAGGTAATATAAGCTACAATAAAAATAAAAATCAATGACTAGAAATAATTCCAAAAGGGACACAGATGATAGAACTGTCAAACAAGGGCATTAAAAACATTTATTATGGGGGCTGGAGCAATAGCACAGCAGGTAGGGCTTTTGCTTTGCAGGCAGCCGGCCTGGGTTCAATTCCCACCATCTCATATGGTTCCCCTGTCCAGCACCTCCAGGAGTAATTCCTGAGTGAAGAGCCAGGAGTAACCCCTGTGCATAACCAGGTGTGACCCAAAAAGCAAAAATATATATATATATTATAACTGATACCTCAGGAGCTGATGTGTGGAGTGTCAGGTCACTTTAAATCTCCGCCCATGGAACAGATAGCCAATCAGAACATAGAATGGGTTGACTGGGGTGGAATTAAGCAGCAGGTAAAAGGGGCTTCTCCCCTTCCCCCTGCAACCCAGCAAGTGATCTTTGGATGCTCTCCTCTCTCCCTGGATCATGTGGGGCAGCGCACCCATACCCAGTACCAGTTCCAGAACAGACAGGGGCGGGT